ATATATAATATACATATGTGACAAGAACTCCCAAAACCCTAAAAAGAAAAAGAAAAAAAGCCTACATATTAATCAATGTTTTCTTTTGCCCTGCTTACAGTTGTACACTAGAGACTGTAGCACGACAAAGGGGACAGTGCATCTTCTTGAGTAGCCATTGATCAATGCATTCTCCGTGAAACGCATGTTCACACTCAAGCTGCCGACATTCTTCCCCGTCCTTAAACTCGCCCAAGCAAATTGAACACTCCGAGTCAGTGTTAGTAGCAATTGCTTGGTTCTTTGTATATCGGAAACTTGACGCCTTCTTCTCCGCCAACGGCGCTGGTGTTTTTGCAGCAGTGGCTTGGTTAGGAGGAGGGTGAGGCTGTTGTGGATGATTTCTTTGTGCTTCGACATCATCAATTGGAGTATTTAGCTCCCGTATTCTTAAATACAAGCCGCGGATAATGAAGGAACAGAGGATGAAACAGGTTAGGAGAGCTGCGAGTACAAAAGAGGGGTCGTCAATTGAGAAAGGAGGAGGAGGTGCTACTGGAGAAGGAGGAGGAGGAGACATGGTTGCTTTTTAGAGTTGAGAAAAATACAAGTGATATTATGTATTAATCTAATCTAGGGAAATGGAAAATACATCCGCGCTAGCCAACTTGACTAAGCTTGTACGAGCGAGGAAGATGTTTAAGAAAGAGGACGAGGAAGACTTGTCCTGACAAGGAATTAATGTATAGAGGAGTCATAGACAAGGAATTGTAAACTTAGCCGTTTGCAATTAATGTAAAGAAAAAGAGAAACTACTAAACAAGAAACAAAAAAGAAAATCTACTAGATACCCCAAAATAATTTCAACAACATCATCGTTCTTTCTTTGTTTTGTACTAAGAACAGGAAATATCACGATACGATGATACAGAAAAAAGACAAAGCAAAACATACATTCTATTTGAAGTCCACAAGACGAGCCCCAAATAGATTTTCTTTCAAGTGAGTGGGGCCTCATGAAATATTCAAGTGTGGCCCAAAAAGCTCGTAACTAGATTATTATTATTTTTTTAAAGGGAAAGCTCCTACTAGAATATTTGTGTAAATTCATGTGAGCAAAGGTTCGAAATCTCTAGATACCTAATGAACATATGTGTAAACTCCCCTCCTTCAATCACTCGTATTAAAAAAAGTAGTATAGTAAGAATCGTGAAGATGATGTGACACGTATACTCTCTTATGTTCATAAGTCTTGGACATTAGTCTCATTTACTTTATTAATTACTTGATTGTTTGATTGAGTTTGAATTCCCACCATTTTGTTATTAACCAATCCTACCAAATTGAAATATTAGGCTACCACCTCAACATTGTTTGTGAAATTTTAATGTTTACAATCATCATCATAAAGTGGTGGTGGTGCTGCTACAGGAGGAGGAAGAGGAGGCATGATTGAGAATAATGACAAACAATAGTTACCTTATTTATTTATAAAACCCTAATCACTAATTAATTCAGCAATAGGCACAATTCCAATCTTATTAGGATAAACATTTGTCTTGTTCGAAACGACATCGTCTTGGACGTATTTACGAATTTGTTGATAACTTGATATATTGATTCGGGTTAACTTTCCCCAATCACAAAGTCCTTTCGTTGACGCTTTTGCTCTTCGAGAAGCTCCGCTTCGCCTCCGATCAGGGTTTCACAGGTAAAGCTTCAATCTTTCCATGTCGAATTTCGCTCTCTTTCAATTCGTCTCTATCAATTGCAATATATAAAAAAGAACCCTTTAATTTGCATCCCACCGTACGGACAATTTTCGATTTTCTGTTTGATTAATGCTCAATTTTTTTTTAAGAGAACTTATTCGGTTGTGCTCTCTTCTCATCGGAGTTCGTTTCTGTTGCATAAATTTTTGCACGCAATTTTGTAATTAGACAATTCAATAGGAGTTCAAAGAAACCCTATAATTTAAATTTAAAAAATTTCGACTTATTAGGGTTCTTGTTTGATCGCGAATGAATTCGAAGAATTCTTAACTTTTGATTTCATTTAAATTCAAGTAGCTGTTGCGTTTTTCTTTTTTGTGGGTATAATTTCTGAGAATTCTGATTCGTTTGTTTCTCTGTAGGGTTTGATCTTCGAATTTCAAAATGCCTGCCACAGCAGGAAGGGTTCGCATGCCCGCGAACAATCGGGTGCATAGTAGTGCTGCCCTTCAAACCCATGGTATATGGCAGAGTGCAATTGGGTATGACCCCTATGCACCCAACAAAGAGGACAACAAGACTTCTGCGCAACCCAATTTGTCGAACTCTGAACCAGACGCTGAGAATGCGTATGCGAGCTTCCAGGGCCTCCTTGCGCTTGCCCGTATAACTGGGTCCAATGCTGATGAGGCTCGTGGGGCTTGCAAGAGGTGTGGCCGTGTTGGGCACCTCAACTTTCAATGCAGGAACTTTCTGAGTGTTAAGGAAGACAAGGAGAAAGACCCAGACACGATTCAGGCTGATGTTGCGTCTGAATTGGGTAAGTTGAAGAGGAAGCTGGGTAGGACAAATGGGAAAAACGTGACTGAGAGTGAAGAAAGTGAGGATGAGGATGAAGACAGTGAGAGTTCAGATTCAGATTATGATTCAGAGATTGAGAAGATCATTGCTCAAAGAAATGGGAAAAAGGCCGGTAGAAAGGATTCTAAAAAGAAGAATGAAGACTCAGATGGTGATGGGTCAGATACGGATTCCGGGGAAAGGAAGAAGAGAGGAAGGTCAAAGAAGAGGAGTAGCAAGAGGAAATACAATGATGATTCAGATGATTCAGATGAAGGTAGGAAGAAAAGAAGGAAGGAAAAGCGGAGGAAGAGGGATGAGTCCTCAGACGAGGATGGTGAGCGCCGGCGGCGGCATAGGAAGAGTAGGAAGGAGAAGAGGAGGAGAAGTCATCGGTATTTGGATGATTCTGAATCTGATTCGTCTGAAGATTCTCATTCTCGTAAACACCGCAGTCGGAGGAGCAGAAAGGCAGTCACACCATCTGATTCTGATGATGATTCACGGGTAGGTAGGGGCAGGAAGCGATCTGAGAAGAAGAGCCGGAAGCGCCATCATGAGGATGATGAATAAATCGATCTAGGAATGGTCTCAAACTGTGTACCCCAGGAAGCCAGCTTGAATCTATTTAGTTTGCAACAATATGCTATTGCAACCTTTGTATTGATTCTGTTCATTTGCTTGGACATGCTTCTGTTGTATTTTGCTGTTTTGCTTTATGAGATGAAACTATCACTTTGCTTATTGGAAGTTTGAACGTTTCTGGTATTAGTTCATTCGATCTTGTGCCGTTTTCTTGTGTGAACTATTATTTCATCCTACTCTTTGAATGATATTTAGTGAGCATATTCTGCTATATGTTTATAAGATCACATATTTCGCCCTAGATTTGTTTTCTGCAAGCTTTTGAACATATCACAAGTGTTGCTAATTAGTATAGCATGCAGGAGTATTGTAATTAGTTTTGTTCTGTTGATTTCTCCTCGAAGCTTTGGTTAGATTTGGTTGTTTGCACGAATAAAATTGTTACTAATTATCTACTAAGAAGCTTAATAGCTTTTTTGATTTTCAGTTTCTGATGTCACTTGTGTTGTAGCTTTCTTGCTTGTGGTGATTTCCGGTGTAACGAATGCTTTGCTGCAAATGCTTTATGTAGAATTGGTCTTCCATTGGCATTTTTGTTAGCTCTAATGACTAATGCGATGTTAAAGTGAATACAAGCAAACATTTTGTGGGTTTCATCTCCTTGTGCGTATTCCTGGGGATTTTCATAATTACTTCATATTCTTGAGTAAAAGCTTTAGTTTAATGGAATAGACTTCTGCTTCACAAGCGGCCAAGTTTTTGTTTGAAGGGCCGAAACCAAGCACAGGTTATGTCCAACTCTGTCACGATAAATATAAGAACAAAGCAATTTATTCATCACATTAAGGAAGTCATGGATTGCTACATTGCTTGGATTAGTAACAGTAAAAATTCTTATCTGACAGCAACTTCAGATCCCAAGTATCTACAGAATACAATTTGCTGTTTTCCCTTGACCAAAAAAGTGAAATCGTGAAAAATGGGTACAACCACTATTTGTCCGTTACGTTTTTTCAAATAAGAAAAAGGGGGAGACTCTCCAAGAAAAACAAAGAAAGGAAAGACCAAGATGGTGTGACCGCATCCTCTTGTGATTTGATGACTAATCTTGTGTTGCAGCTCCCTGGTTGAGCTCTGCAAACCTCATGCCAACACGCATTGAATGCTTTAGGAACTTCTCAGCACATCGCCTGACACAGGTTTCCTCTTGCTTCTGCAACGATTTGTGCTTGAAGGTATCGACGCAATCAGTGAAGCATCTCTCAACAAGTGAGTTATACATCCTCAAACTGCAAGCAAATTCATACTGTTAGCAGATTTGTTCCATCCTTCAGAATGGAAATGGCATCAGACAAAGCCTATCAAATTTACCACCACCAATTCATCCTACACAGAACTAGGCAAAGAACTAGTTCAAAGCTATGATAACAGTTATTTTACATGCAAATAAGCATCCAACTTAGAAGCCAGGTACTAAGAATACCTTAACTTTAATCTCGGTTGCTAAATACTAATGACTCTGATGTTCGCTCATTTCCATGCATGTTCTCTTACGCACTTTGCCTAAAATTTTAACTTTTGGGATATTAACATTACTTTCTGTACATGGTTGGATTAGCATGTCAAAATGGCGAAAACAAGTAAATGTAATACAAAATGGGGCAACACAGTTCTCTTATGGATGATGAACCTGAACATGACAAAGTCTGCAGGAATCATGAAATTTGTACTAGAAACGTCTACACGAAAAACACAATTGAAGGTACAAGATCATTCTTCTACCTAGTAACACAAATGCTTGAAAGAAACAAATTCAGGTGATCAGACAGTATCTCATATATTCTTTATCGTTTTATTTGTTACTTGGGTAAAATTCATATGCTCAGGAATAAAAAACATTTGCACTAACACATAACTAGTGTAGTTCCCAAAACGTCCAGAAGCAACACAATTGTTGCAATGGTTTTAAGGAGAACTTTTATATGGCTTCACAAAAAAAGAGTTTTCACAAAATTAAACCACGTGACCCAAATAAAAGAGGAATTGTGAAGCAACAAATCTCAGTCAATCAAATGACTTGGATCTTCCATGCTTTTCACAAAATTACTAAATCTTCAGAGGCTTAGAAAAAAAGTTTTTACCCTTTGATTCCGACTTCATCAAAGACACAACGCGATAATAAACAAACATTTGAGTAGCAAATCAACTGGAAATAAAAACACAATACATTGCGCTACAGAGAACAGATTGAAGCAGACCAAAAGATCAAAACATTCCCCACTACAAAATACTTAGAAATGCAAGAACAAATTAAATCATGCAATACCTTAAATTCTATTTTAGAATCACAAGCTTCTATCTTTACAAACACATGGACAAATTTACAAACTTGGATGAACATTTTATGCCTGTGCAGAACCAAATTTCGAGTTTTTTTTTCTTTCTTCATATTATCAAGCAGAAATTCAGATTTGAGAACACACAAGACATATGAGGAAATGTAGAAACTCGAAGGGAAAAATTGGGAAATTAATTAGATAAAAATAAAAACCTGTCGCGGATCTGGAGCTGATCGATCATAGTGGCCATTCTGAGCTTGTCTTCCTCTGGAAGGGAATCCAAATCTCCTATCATGCTCTTGTCCATACTTGGATTTATCAACTATTTCAGGATTTTTGCTAAATTAGTTACTCTCTCTGGAAAATCACGAAGTTGGGGTTTATGGACCAAGATCGTTGTAGCAGATCGCTTCCCCTATATACCGAGTTAAAACCCTAGATTTCGAGGAGACGGATATGATACGGCGCCGTTTGTTAGCTCTGTCTTCTGAGTCGTAGTAAGGTGATAGTGGCCGTTGGATTTGAGCATGCTATGAAAATTCAGAAATTGGCTTTAGGTGCCTTAACTTTCTTTTTCTTTTTAAAAAGAACTAATATGAAATAATAGTCTTTTTCTTTTTTAACAAGAAAACAGTATAACTACACTAACATAATTGGAGGAGAATTCAAACTCGGGTGGAAGAGCACACTATTATTGCTAACTGAACCAACCTATATATTTATCTTTTTTTCTAACTAAGCATTTGTATTTTGTGGGATTTCATTTGCTACTTTGCTTTTTTCCTTTGCCCTTTTCTTTACTAGCTAAATGAAGAAAACAAAAAAGGACTTTATTTGTGGGTTTACATCATAATTGAAAAGTACAACATAAAGGCTTTTTATTTTAGGTGTAAATATCGAAATGGTCCTTGTATTTTATCTTATTGGCCAATTTAGTCCATGCGTTATTAATTTGGCCAATTTAGTCCATGTGTTTGTATTTTTTAACAATTTGATAATTTTCGTCATGGATTAACTAACATATACAAACACAAGGACCAAATTAGTCAAATTAATAACACAGGGACTAAACTGGCCCATGGGATAAAACTCAGGGACCATTTTAACATTTAAGCCTTATATTTTCTAGTTTTAAATGAACAAGATGTGGATTGGACTTAATTGGTTAGAATATTGTTTTGGATTGTAGGCAGTATGAGATGGGAGTAATTCAGTTGTTATGGTTTAGTTTATAAAATTTAGTCTCTTGTTTGTATTAGATCATTGCTTCATATAAACTTTATTTTTTTTTTTATATATCAATTTATTTTAAGCTATTGTTCAATTTAATTGTATTAGAAATGGTATTGGTAGCTTGCATATGAAGTTAGTGTTACAGAGTTCATAACTTATAGGACAGTTTGTTAAGAACTAGTTAAGGATTTGGATTTTCACTACAATCCCGTTTTTAAATGAAGGAGCTTTGACCCTTTTTTCTTGTGTTCAGAATCTCTTAAGAAGTTGTCTGGTCCTCAATTTGGTGGGGTAACACCAACTGGCCGCTAAAACTCTGGACCTCCTCATCCTCTTCTTCGTGCAACAGGTATCATTACATCTAGACCCATTTCTTTTGGCCCACTAAATGCTTTTGAGGCTCCTCGTAAGGTATACGGTCCCTTAGAGTTAGGCCTAGTTTGGGATTGCTGTCACTTTTAAAAAAAGTTGCTTCTGCTGTGCTTTAAAAATAATTAGCTGTAAAATAAAGCAGCTCCATGTTTGGTAAACACTATTTTTAAAGTGCTGTTAGTACAAAAAGCAGTGTTAAAACTGTTTGGTAAACTTTAATATAAAATTGTTGTAACTGTGAATAATGACTAAAATAGACATGATGTTAAAAGTGTTATGCACTAATCATGTGGTGGTAGTGGTAGTGATAGTGACGGAGTGGAGTTGAGGGTGGAGATGAAGGCGAAGTTGATGGTTGTGGTGGTGGGGATGGCAGTTGTGGAGGTGGCGATGGTAGTGGCAACATGGTGGTGGTGGTGGATGTGGAGGTTTTGGAGGAGGTGGTGATGGTGGTGGTGGTGGTGGAGGTGGTGGTGGTGGTGGTGGCGGCGGTGGTGGTGAATGAGGAGGAGGTGATGTTGGAGGTGGTGGTGGCGGAGGATGAGGAGGAGGAGGATGTGGTGGTTGTGGTGGTGGTGGTGGTGGCGGTGGTTGTGGAGGTAGTAAATGTGGTGGTGCAAGTGGTGGAGTTGGATGTAAAAGTGGAGGTGGTGTCATTTTTTTAAAATGAATGATGATATTTTGAGAATTAAAAAAATTCATTAAATGTTTATCTCTGCTTCTTTTGAAAGCAGCTTTGAAAAGCAACCCAGAGTCAGCTTTTAAAAGCTGCTGTCAAAAGGCCACTGCTTTTAAAATAATCAGGATATTTTAATTTTACCAAACACCTTAAACTGCTTAACTTTAAAGTTAAGCAGGTTTTTGGCCAAAAAAAGCAATCCCAAACGGGGCCTTAATGGGATCAATGAAAGTACAAGGTTCCTTCATTGTTCACAATCATGCCATTACTACTCTTAGCCAGGACGACAAGTTTTCGTTTAGGAAGAGCTTCCCAAAGCTAATATTATGGTCTTTGATTCTACTTTTCGTGATGGGGTTCATAGTTAGTGGTTTTATTCTAAGTGCAATCCACAATGCATATCGCCTCATTGTAGTTGTGATCCTTTTTGGTATAGTTACTACATTATTCATATGGAATGTTTGTTAGAAGTATGCCTTGAAAGCCAATCATTAGACAAAATCTTCCATGGAAACTTCAATTAAACCAATTATTTAGGTTTACACAAAAGGGCAATTATGTCAACAGAGGTGACGGTCCATGCATGACCATTGACCTATTTGACAAGTCCATGGATTTATGAGAT